ACGACCACATGTGTGTGTGTGTGTGTGTGTGTGTGTGGTGTTGTTACGTTCGCTGTGGACGGTTTCCTCGAGGCGCAGGACGTTTTCGTGGTTGAGCTGCGACAGCAGCCGAATCTCCCGCATCGCCAGGAGCGGGAACTGCAGACACGCACACACACACACACACACACACACACACACACACACACACACACACACACACACACACACACACACGCACACGCACGCACACACACACACACACACACACACACAAACACAGGCCATTGGCGTGAGCAGGAAGCCATGACAGAGGAATGCAGTGTAAGTTTGTCGTTTCTGGACGCATGCACGCCGGCATGCACGCAACAGCCAACAAAACAACCGTGGCACGGGTGTGTGCACATGTACGTGGGATGGAGCCGCTCACCCCCTCTGTTTCCTTGTGCATGAGGACTTTCTTGAGGGCGACAATGCGACCCGTGCTGCGGTCCATAAACTTGTCGACAGACCTGCAGTCAGTGCACATGCTTGGCGTCAGCACCTTGAGCAAGGAGGCACACAACTCAATCACACAACTCACCCAGGTTCACACACACAATTGATGTGCCCACACGTCAGCCCACCACATTGCGGCTGCCAAGGCAACCGCACCCTTCACCAACCCCGCTTCACCACCCCCCCCCCAACACACCCCATCCATTTCACACGAGCAGAGCAAGCGAATGCAAGCGAATGCCAGCGACATTCACGACCACCGCCACCACCAGGGTTATACTGCGTGCGCCACGGACCCGTATTGGCCGGTGCCGACGTGGTTGAGGCGGCGGTATGCGGCGAAGATAGAGCGGCAGCGGGTGTGGGGCCGGTACTTTGGCACAGGCAGCCGGTCGCCCGGGTTGCTGATCACGGGCGGGCGGTCCAGCACGGCAAGCTGCTCCCGCCGCCGACGTTGCCGCTCAGACGCCGATGATGATGACGAGGTGGTGGATGGTGGTGCCTGGGGTTGCGGGTGGGGTGGCTTCGATGATGATGGCGGGGGTCTTGGTGCCGCTGGCGTTGGCGCAGACGGGTGGCGCTGCGGGTGGTGTGCGCGGGGCGGGT